CCCGTAAAACACGATTGTTCCATTGTAACATTGTGCCCGAAGCACCGATTACTGAGTACAGTACTCCAGTTCCGGCTTTGTTGTTGTTGATTCCGATGGAAACGAGTTAGCTCAAGACTTCCAAGCAATTTGCGGCTTACAATAAAAGTGGCGGTGGAGTCCGAAAGAAAAGTCAGGAATGACCGCATTGCTAATATATTTAGCTCGAGATGCAGATGTGGGTGTGTGGATGTTTTTTAAACTCGGGGACACCGGAGCGCCCACATAAGAATGTCCTTTGTGCCAGGCATTGGAATGTAATCATCCAGCAACTGCAAATGTATTCAGAGCAATGCCAACTGTGGATTGTCCAACATTGTCTGAAGTCCTTCATCCCGCCGGAATTACTCCTAATAAGCCGCTGTACAGGATCCTCACTGATTCTAGTGCATCATCTATAGAGACCTCAACACGGACTTATATGGCTGGTTTCTTTATGGCTAAGAATACACTCTATAGGTCAAGTTGGTCGGTAAGGATAATGCCTAAAAATCATTTTGCATAAAACTGGTTTACCATTTTTATTCTATGAAAACAATCGAAAATCCTGAATTTTAGATATACAGTGAAAGAGCTACGCGGGCTTTTCGGTGAACGGCTTTCAATCGTTAACTGCTGATACAGGTGACTAAACATGACAAACGTTTGTACAGACCATCATGTCATACAGTATAGTAGCTCATGCGGTAGAAATTTAAACTATAGACACCATCAGAGGATCATTTCAGTTGTCTGATTTTCACGGATGATCTCCATTCCCCTAACATTTTAGCATTTACGATAGTTTGTCTTCCAATGACAACGACAAGATATCACTGTGAAATCTCACACCGCCAAATGACACTCTGTAATTAGCTTTAAACACGATACCGTCATCGTGCACCTTACGAAGAGTTGTCTTGTTCCGTGTTTATACATTGATACGAACAGCTGTTCAGTCCACCTAAAAACCACCAGCCTCGTGTCGGTTATGTAATGAGTGACAGCATGCCAGTTATAGGCTTTTAGGAAATGTCAGTTTCAGCAACGCGTCACAGAAAAGATTTCCGTTGCCCCATAAATGTCAAAATAAAGAGGGTGTGCAATTCAGTTTAAGAGATATTCAGGAATCAGAGAGGACTACCAGCCTAGTATTGTGTTTGAAACATAAAGCAGATTTTGAATCCAGAAGAAGCTACTTCTCATTTCCTGTTGACGGTATCCCAGTCCGCTTCCAGCATGCCAGAGCTTCAGAGAAAACGTTGATCCCACGGATCATTTGTGAACTACCCGGAAAGTCTGCAGTATCAAGCACGTTTCAAGTTATTGAACCAGTGCACCACTTTTACAAGATATGTGTCGTGTTGGGGACCTAATCGACCAGGAGTTAATACGTACTATACAATGGAACCGGCGAAATGGATCTAAGCTGCTATCAAATATTTAAATAACTAGTCATTTCCAACTTGCTCCCTACACACTATTATATTCCTGGGCATATTATGTATATTATTCAACACCTGACCAATATACAGTTGGCAGTGCCACAACGCATAGTTAACAACAACAAAAAGGGGAAAACAGGTAGACAGTGGAAACCTTTGGAATGTTTACAAGGTATATGCGTTGTGCGGGCAGAGATCTTCTTGGTTGCCCAGGCTGAGGAAGAGGGTTGACTTAAGGGACCCCACTTCGAGCGTCCGGTCATAAAGACCTGAACCACAAGGCAGCGGGACGATTAACGGAGACCGTTGACATCCGGGCCTTCGCCTTCTTTTTGTTCAGTGGCAGCCCACAGAGAAGCCGGCGGCCAACAACGTTGTTCATCCGCCCTCCGTTAGGTACTCACTTCTGGTTACAGATGTGAGTGGTCAGTGACCCTATAGCCGGTCACATTGGCTTTGACACAGCGCCGTACAAGCTCTTGTGGTGTTTGATGGAGAACCAGGTGACCAGCCCAGAACTCCCCACGCTCTGAGACGCTGCCGCTGATTGTCCGTGCCTGCCTATTCATCTCGTCTGCAAGCCAAACGAGACATATTCACACTTATCTCCACAAGGAAGACATTCCCCGATCCGCAACCTGGCGAAACGCCCGATATCGTACAGCTCCGCCACGGACGTACAGCTCCGGCATAGTTGCATCAAAAACACTCCCAGTCATGAGATCAGGTTCATCCCTCGGGTATTTCTAAGGATGGATCAGAGAGAGCAATAACTCATGCAACCGGACCAGTCGCAGCTACCGTACACGACCATGAAGGGTCAAGACTGTAATCCCAACAGTAGCCTATATACTCAAGATGGTTTACCGAATGTGCCAACAAAGTGGTTTGTATTGTGACTAATCACAGACTCCTTTCTTAATTTTCTTGGATCCGAATGGGTTGTCACATTTCACGCGGCGAGCAGGCTACTGTAGTTATCAATCGCGCTCCCGCGTTATGATGTTCCCAAAAGGCAGTCAATGAAGAGAAGTTACCAGACGGATACTCGGTCAGGCCAGCAAGTTGTAACTTAGATACAGTCAGGACTAGAAGGGCTACCAGCCTTAGTCGACGGATCAACAAAACCGGCTGGAACGTCATGGGAGCTACTTCCGCCTTCGTATGTGTCAGTCATGGAGCGCACCTTGATTGAGGTATCCTTGGTTTATATTGTCCATCTTCAATGCATATTAAATTCACGATAACCCACCTACTTTAGGAAATATACCCCATGTAACTAGGGAGATTGTGGTGCTCGACAAATGGTGCAATCAATATCATTCCAAAAATAATCGCAGTAGGTAGCCTCATGTATGTTTTGGTTTTATCCCATGGGGATTCTACAGAAACACTATTCGCTTCGTCTCTATGTTTTTATTTTGTGGTTCTGATCCTGTTCACCCCACGGAACTGGATAATTACTTGCTTTTTTGATGTTGATAAAACATTGCATCATGCTGCTAATGACCGATGGAATCTCTCTGCCAACACATACTGTACGGACCACCACAACTCATTCACTATCGGCTATCTCGACTTGCTTCAGTAAAGCTACTGACCTAATCCATTGATACGGAAGACTTAACTTTTTCCTCGTATACTAGATATTATCGAGCATTTCCTGATAACTGCAACCATTCTGCCAAAGTTGGTCCTCTCTGACTGAGTTCAACAGGTAGATCCTTTCTGCTGAGTGCGTTATATGCCTCTGAAAATAGACAGAAGCGTTTCGATGCATTTTCATTTCAGGTACCTTGGTGTAAATCATAGGAAGGATTTAGCTAGTTTGTACGTGTGCCAATCGAATGCGGATGAACAGCTGGAAGAGATTATTCGAACTTTATCGTGATGTCAAATGCTAGCAAAGTACCACATTGTAAACAAGGCAGTTTTACCCATTGACGCACTTCAAGGTTAATTCGCTTTTGCGCACCAATCGACTTCAAAAACCCAAACATAAATGTCCAAGTGGTCATTTAGCAACTAATTACAGGGTGGTTACTAAGTCCTTAATGTACCCTCACCACAATGCATCAACATAGTAGTAAATAGAAACTAACGGCATCCTTTAATTACGATTTCCGTTTGTCCCATCGGAACTTTCGCCTTACTGCTGGCCTTGATCTTGTTTGATATTTGTTCTTTTCTCCATCAATCGTCTGAAACCTAAATATTCGGTTTTCAGCTTTAATAGCTCGTCGAATCAAAGACATTGGGACAGCAGAACACAAGAGCATGTGGCGGCGCATAGTGATTGTTGACCGATCAATTGGCCGATCATCTTAAGAAAAAAGAGTCTAAGAAATGCCCTGAACGAAGAAATAAAATGTTCCTTTCTACTTATGTGGCCACTTTTTCCAATTTTAATATGGAAGCGGCAAAAGAGAAAGAATCCTATCACTGGAACTTTAGAGTGGGGTGGAACAACTCATTTTATCATTTTACTACTGAACAGTGTGGTTTCGTTTCGTTTCACAACTACCCTTGAGCTGGAGTTAGTGTATACGTCAAAAAAGAAGTTAGCGGGTGACTAGCTAGTATTTCAGTTTATCAGTTTCCACGTGTTCTGCGAAGAACATGACAGAGACAGTTCTAAAGAAATTTTTCGAAAAGTACTTCCTGCTTACAAGAAGATCCGTCTACATGGTCGACTAAACCAATGCACCAAAAAAACAAATACGCAAAGGTAGCTAACCCAACAATGTCTGAGTATTACTAGCTGGAGAGAACATAATTTACCAAATCGTTTGAAGTGGCAACAGAACGTGAATTTTCAGTGTGTGCATTAAATGAAATAGATATGTTTCCTGAGGTTGCATTTTGTATGGAAAATGAGTATAGTCGTCAAAATCGCTTGTTTTTAATCCTTTTTGATTTGTTCTCATCTGCTGCTGATTGGACGACGGGCACCTCGCAACCTAACGGAAATACCTTTCATTTCCCAGCGGTCTGCCTGCGCAATTAATGATTTATCAAGCTAGTTGATGCGTTGTTTCATCTCCACATTGTTTTATATTTTGCTCTGATTTCCAATTATTGTTACCGTGTGTTTCATAAGCGCTCATCAGTTCGCGTTATGCGGTGTTATTGCGAAAGCCACATTCCGTACACACACACACACACACACACAGTCAAAGCATACATTTATCTTGGGTTTGCAAAACTCAACTTAAGTATTTAGCCAGATGTAATTGTTGACCACTGAAGTTTCTGAGGTTATCATTTGGCAGCTTCTTTTAGTATTTAATAAAGGTGGCAAATTGTATTGAGTTGCGTGATTTACCAGTAGCTGTTAGGTCTTGTTAGTTCCACCGAATCTTAAACTAACTGATGGCTGTAGCATTCAAATCGTCATCATCGCTTCATCGAAGGTGGCACGGGCTGCGATAGGAACGAATATAACGGTCGCATTTTTGTACATGTTTTGCTATTTTTAATAGGACTGATACGGCTTCTTTAGCAACAGCTGCGCGAAAGATGAGCAAAGGAACGTACTTGAAGTAGTCGCCAGATGACGCATGGAAGAATAAAACCAGCTGCTTGCAGCACGAGTACAAACGGTGCCCACTGGTAATATCGGACCACATGCTTCCGCTCATTTTCAGGTATTCGGGCTTTAACGTTCGCGAAGTATGTGTTTGTGACCCAACAAAAGTGTTCTGCATACTCTTCCCAGCTGCGGGAGAACTCCTGTGGTATCCAGCATTGCAACGGTAAGTAAGCTGTGAATGAGAATAAGAAATGAAACAAAGGATTGATCCAAGTACTGTTCATCGTATTGATTACACCAGTTTCAGCCATGAGGTAAACAGAATTCAACGTAAGCACCCAGTTACAATTTACGCTCATAAATGGAGAATATTGAGAGCCACCCAACGATTTGATAACAAGCTGTTTGAAACTTAAGCGCTTCTTGTAGATCACTCATAAGATCGCATGCGTTCACTTCACTATATAAGTAGTATAATTGTGCTGAGACCCAGTTACTGAGAAACGCAATTTCTTGGCATGTTTCAATTGTAGCATTCCATTCTGTTCTCAGCCTACATTGGCACTGTTGAGTTTACCGTCAGTCCGTTGTCTCCTTTCAGCCTCGCAACTGTTCTTCGGAAAGCTAATATTAGATTTTGAGAAAGAAAGCTGGAAAGAAGCGACGACATTTGTAGTTTCTGTCGCAAAGTTACCCGAAGTTCGGCATTAAGATAGACTCTCTGATGATTTAAGGGGTTAATGATTGTTTAAAGATACATCAATGCAGTAAGATTAACCTAATGGGCATTTGTGTAATTGTGGGCCGCGGAGATCGGTTGAAACATTAAACAACAGATGACAGCCACCGGCCTAGTAGAATGAACAACGATTTATTCTGGGTAAAGTTTAAGTGCTTAATAAATGTCAAGAAAGTTGGTGCAAAAATTAGAAGCTCAATATCAAAAGCGTGGTTATTGATGCTTTTCTTTCCAAACTGCACAAAACTGAAGCCAGTAATTGGTTTAGTAGATCCGACTGACAAGATGCCATAGGGAGAGTTTTTAGTAGCTGAAGTCAAGGTAACTTTTGCGTCCGCAACGACTAACATGTGGTTTGGGATAAGTTAATAAGCCTGTCGTACCACAAATTTTCAGCACTATACGACGTAAAAGAGGGAAGCGCATGCATGTGTTTTTTTGTTTACAAACAATGTGAGAAATAGACGTACCACACCCTGAGTTATATTTGCGTTTATGGGAGTTGATATGAATTCATCACAGCAATTTATGGTTTATAGCTCTCATTAGATGTCGTTTATGTGCATAAATTACCCAGCATGAAAATATGATGGAAAATCGTGGTTTTTGGTGTGCACTAGGACAAGAAGGAATGTATGAATGCATTTGTTTGGTAGAAAATCAAGATGGATTTGCGAAACCTACCACAAGAAGCTAATTTAGTTGAACTGTTCGTTTTAATTATTAGAGACCGCATATATATATATATATATATATATATATATATATATATATATATATATATATATATATATTCATGCGGTCCCTAATAATTAAAACCAATAGTTCTTCCAAATTAGCTTCTTGTGGTAGGTTTCGCAAATCCATCTTGATTTTCTATCAAAGAAATGCTTTCATACATTTCTTCTTGACTTCATTTTTTATATAAAGTTAGCCGTGCCAACCGTATTCACAACTTCAAGCCACAGGCTGATAGTTCGTCTGATTCGATACTTTCTGTCTGAATGAGTTTGCAAGGCAAGCTTCCGCAGCATTCCAAACATTATTGACTCACGTACGTATCCTTCTTACTGAACACATGTGGACAGTTCCATTCGTGCGTCACTTGTGTCTGAATCATTTTATGGCATTAAGTATCTCATTAACATTTGCACCTATGCAAATTACCAGCCTGGAAGTGTCACCTTGCGTCTTTGAATCTCATCTCTAGCAACTAATGAATGAAGCTATCATTGACCTCAAGGTATACTTTGCTTTCCTGTTTTTGTTGGTTCAGTTTCGGAGCTCTGCAGATAAGTTAATAACTTTGCTGAAGAAGAGAAAATTATCACAATACAATTAATCGGTTGTTTGACATCCGAACAGGACGTCCGTATTAACAGTAACTCAAACAAACAGCTAACTAAATATTTAAATATCTTTAATGCGCACGCACTGACACATCTCTACTCAGATGGTGTTGTCATATTTAAATATATGCATTAATTACAGCGTTAGCCTTCATCTTCATCCAACGTTGCAGAGAAACACACTGAATTAGTCTTATTTTGCACCTAACGTGTCGCTTCAAATTTTTGTGACAATTCCTTTCGCTTTTCACTTTCATTCCCCAATCCTGAGCAATACCACAGACTATTCGGAAGTTAAAGTAATGAAGAGGTTTCTCATACAGAAGGAAGAGGAGGTCAGAGAAAAGAAGGAATTTGGTCAAAATTTTGTTCTATGAGCACTGTGGGATAGTTACTGAAAATACACTCATCGTGAGATGTAAGAACTACTTCCCAAAGCATCCACAAGCTATGTCTCACAGTCTTAATTTACCTCATACCAATATACCAAAGAAAGCAAAACATTCAGATTTACCTTGGTTACATAACGCTGATCTTATGCTGTTGTCCTTACACGGCTTATGTTAAAGATCTGCACTGAACCATGTACGAAGGATTGGACGACATTCACATATTATCTATTCAATCTGCGCACTTTAAATCAACAGAAACTAGCCCAGCTGTCATGCCACTACAAAGTTTGCATCGGAGAGAAAGCTAACATGGTGTATTTGGGAATGCCGTCATCCACGAAAATGTAAGCATTACCTTTCGTTGCTTACTGGCTTCTTGGAGCTACGAAATCTGTATTTAATGAAGCAGCGACCTGATTACAATGACTGAACGAATCGAATGCCTAAATTCGAATCGCTTCTTTTCAACTGAATCAATAACTAACTTATCATTTCGTATGAGCTTGTGCTGGCCTTGATAGCTGGCTGTAGTAAACATCGCTGTCCATTTGAACGCGAATATAACGATTCCAAACTGTACGTATCTAATCAAGAAAAGAATTTGCAACAGTGACCTGGGGAGCGGAATAATTTTATTACATCTAGTAACCTTGCAAAGAAGCCGTTTTCATCAGCCACTAGTTCGTAGCACAGGCTACTGCACTGCAGGCTGTTTGCGAAGTTGTCGGCAAAATGCACATTACTGATGCATTGCAATAAGATCGACTTGTTCTTCATACTGTCATCGGATGCATGTATCTGTGTGACAAACCTTCAAACAAGTATTCAGCTGGTGATTTACTTACAAATGTGGACAGATGAACAACTTTGCGGATGTCGCAACTTTAAGGAAAAGCACTGTGGCTTGTTTCGACTGAGCCGCTTTCATCCAAACTATTGTTGTGTCACTATTTACCTGGAATGCACATCCGCTGTCCTCCATTCTGTCAGATAGCCTGCATGTACCTGGAGTGCCAGTTGGTCCGTGCTATCAGATATCATTTTGATCAATTAGTTATACGGTATTCTCACATCGGCTCCGCATCAGTAATTATGTGAACGGTGGTCCAGAAAATTAGTGGCAGAGAACGCGTCCATTACTTCGGCCTACAGAGACAACAGCATGTTCCAAGTGCAAATTTGAAGATATTACGGTCATTAACCGGAGTAGCAAACAGTCGATGTGAAGTAGCCAACTAATCAAGTGTGTGTATTATCATCTATAGCAGCGAAAAGTCCATGGATAATGGTCACTGTTGTAGAGCAGGTAAAAGCGCAAACTATTACATTTTCCACTAGATGATTTGTTCGAAATGTGAAAAATAAAAGCCAAAAAGATGAATTTGTTATTCACTTTTCCATCGCACTCTTTTTCGACGGATTCGTTCACCCAAAGTTTGATACCTTAGGGGGCCTGTCACCAACATTTTTGGTGAAACGAGTGTGAGTTTCCGCTTTGTGGGTTTTTCATGTTCTTGTGTCATGTGGAGTAGTGTGAAGAAACAAGCGCACTGTCGACACGGTCCTTGAACATGGACAGTGAAGGAACAGAGAAAGTAGATTCAGGGGTTGCACTGCACGTGTGATGAACACGTTATGCGAAGATATTCCGATCACACGTCAATCATCTATACTGGTCTGACAGCTTCAAAAGATCGTAGTAGCTTCAAGAGTTCACTTGAAAGTTGCTAAAGCATAGTAGGGTTACCAGGCATGCACCGATATTAAACACTGCAAACTTCTAGTAATTTCAGGCTCTGCTCTCTGGTGAACTGATACAGGTACCTGATGCTTTTGACCTTCCGACTTTGCTGGACCCACAAAGAGCTAATTTGCCGCTTCTGTGACGGCAGTCAGGCTTGATTTGAATATTGGACTTGAAGGTGTACTCATGCAACAATTGTGGAAAAATCAATGCGTGGAAACGTCCGCCTGGCATCTAATGAACGTTGTCGAGATAGGATTTAAGCGTTTTGATCGCTCGTTAAACTTGAGTTCATCGGCCTAAAGCAAACAAGATGAAGTGATTAAGCTTACCAAATCGTCATTTAACCTAAAGAATAAACTTAGCCTAACTACCAAATTTTGCGATACGCAGCTTTCTACTTGACTAGAATTTGTCATAAATCCAGACTTCTGGGGTACAAAATAGGTGTCTATCCAACAAAAGGATGATCATCGCTGTCGTAACTCTGAAGCTTGGAGTGCAGAATGTGAAGGTCCAGCCAATTTAAAGTTTTCGAGAAGTGAAGATAAATTAGATAAACTCCCACACCAACAGCCACTATATCGAGCAAGTTGGTTAGTGCCCGCGTTAGATCGGTGGTTCCCAACCGACCTACGAAAAACAGATTGTCCTTAGGCGAGGTAGAGAAATCATTCAGATAGGGTATTAGTGACTCAGAACCGATAGCCGGTATTGGATTGTCCCAAAATCAATTAAAAGGTTTTACGTCATGTCAGTTCATAGTTCACATAGTTCACAAACTACGTAGCACAGCCTAGTCATGCCATAATTGCCTGAAAGTTTCCCGAATCTTTTTTAATAAGCACATACAAGGGACACCCTGGAATACTAGTTTTATGTCGTCAGGTTATCCTACATTATATCTACGCTGGACCGTTGAAGAACGGTCAACATGCTGCTCGCGTATGCCTGTTGTAGGTGGTCTACAAAGGCGCAAAGTGACCGACGTTTGTCAATTATGTGTAA